TATGTACTAAACTCTAGCTGGTAAAGCCCGAGGCTACAACAGCACTTAGTATTACATAACTTTGTAGATCATTTGTAGTACCTAAGGATGATGGGATGAATGATCTATGAAGTTGGAAAGGCTACCATGGGCCATCTTTATTTGAATCTCAGCCATCTTTACAGTCCTGAAAGGTTGCTGAAAGATAGGCCAAAAGCAGGTGCCCACGGATGCATTTAGTAATGGTAGGCTCGCTGTTGTATCCTTTCCTTGTCGTTGAGCTACACCACAGCCATAATGCGCTAATGCTTCTACAGGTCAGTTTTGTGAACGGTTATTTCACGACAATAGCATTTCCTCCAAAGAGGACTTTTTGGGTTTTACAACATGAAGGCGACGAATAACGTTAATAATAATCTGTCTCACTCAGGGACAAGAAGAATCCCCTTATGGGCTGGAAAGGTAAAATTTACAAAACCCTGCTATCTTCTACCGAGCTTCGCAATCGCAGCAAGGAGTTGAAAAAGAGCTTAAAAAGCAGAGCTGGACGAAAGGGAGTGGGTGAAAGCGGGGGAGGACGACGAGGCGCTAGCAGGAGAGCTGAAGCGGCTTGGCTTCGCTGTTTATTTCTTGCAGGGCTCCGACTGGGGGCGTGTATTTAAATAGAGCCGCGCAGCCAATGCGCGCCGAGGGGTTGGACCGTGAGGGCAGCTTGTTTACAACAGATCTTTCCGAGCTGTTCTAACCCGGCCGGCAAGGAGGAAGAAGGAGGCGAGAAGCAAAGCCTGGCGTCGGGAGCACGTGGAGTCGCGCGCGCGGGGGAGAGGCGGCCAGGCCTCCCCGTCCGCTCCCCCTGCCGCCCGCCCCGGGAGGAGCCGTCTGCAAGGTGAGGTGATGGGTGCAGCGACGGAGCTGCGCAGGCCCTGCCAAAGTCCACCGTGCACTGGCGGGACTGGTAAATAAATTCAGGCAAGCTCGTTGGGTGTTCGCTGCAAAAAGGTGGTAGATCTTGCGAAAGGACAGCCGAAATGGGGGCTGGCTCGGAGCAAAGGTCCAATATAGTTCCAAACAACGCGTGCAAAAGTGGCTCTCGGAGGGAGCTTTTAAGCGGCTGGAAGGCGGCGAGTTATTGTCGCTGGTTTTGTGCTTAATCGGCCAAAGCGGCTGTTGGCAGATATATTGCTTCTGCACATGCAGGATCCATTATTAAATTTACAGTAGTTACTTCATCTGCCTGGAAACGATCCAGTCCTGTTGGATTCTTCTTAGGAGCCAGCGGCCATTGCTTCGTCTGACGACTGAGAGCCCCCCAAACTGCTTAGGCTTGAAGGAAAAAAGTGCAGTTTTGGTTTTGACAATCTCCGTGATCTGCCTCAATACACATTTTCGACTTCTAATGTTTTAAGAAAAAGCTTCCCGGGTTTACTTCATATTTTGCGCATTTTTATAGCTGGCTGACATATTCAACCACTTTTCCTCCGTCCTCCTTTCCTTCCAATTACCGTTTGCCAAAATTAAGCTCTTTCCTCATGAAGAAAAGCAGAATCTCCGCCTTTTCTAAGGGCGCAGCTGCAGGTGCATTCGACCACCAACCTCTGCAGACAGCGTGTGTATTGGCCATGCTGGCAGAGGAAGATGGTTGTGTAGCCTAACATTCAGTAGGCAAGAGGTAGTTTTAGCTGTTTCCCAGAGGAAGCAAACTACAGCTACATAATCATTTGTGTATTACTTTTCTGGATGTTTGTACATTAATGCTTGCATATATTTTGCTTCTACTGTGGTCTTAAGTAGAAAGTGAACTCCTTGTTTCACCAAGATTGGCTAATGAAAATGTCTTGATTTCCTTTATTTTGCAAACAGGTATGGTTGGTCTTTGAGACTTTTAACTCACTAAAAACACTTTTGTAGCTCATCTCCTCAAAGGAATCAGTGTGCAATTACAGAAGTTTTTCCATAAAATCTGGGGGGAAATTCCTTTATATGCATTTGTACTTATTTATATTTATTGACAGCCTCAACTGTGTAGACAGAAAGCCTCATAGCAGCCTTTCTGAATCCTCCAGATAGGTTGGACTGGAATTCCTAGAGCTTCCAGTTTCTAAAAAATTAGGAATTGCAATTCCAATACATGTGGAGGGTTCCAGGTTGGGAAAGACTGCTTTAGATAGCAAATGGATGGTGGAAAGGGGTTACTTCAAGTCAAACGAGAATACATTCAATCCCCAAACCACATTTTTTTGCAGGTGTCAAAGCTGTGTCTGTATCTGTGGATTTCAACAGCATGTCCCCCAAACCCAGCAACACCATTTGTGGTGGGGAAAAAAACCCACAGGACAGTTAATCTAAAATTCTAAAATAGGCCTGGCATGCTTTGGAAGACAAACCATTCTTTCCTCCTCAGCTGGGAAAAAAAAAGAGAATTTCTGCTCTACCAAAGTTGCAGATAAGCCTCTACTCACTTTATGATCTGCTCACTGCAGCTTTCCAATAGTTTATCCTCCTCAATTAATTGAATAGATACACCCAGTTCTCATTCTTGTATATGTGAAATATCTTGCTTCTTGTGGATGGGGCTGGATAATGTCTGAATAATGTATCACGTAACATTAGGTAGAATATATAGCTGTCAGAGACTTTCACTTACAATTGGCACATGCTAGTTTAGACATAGACCCTTTTTGGCATTTAGAATCACATTCAAATCTTAATATCTCCAGTGGAAAGAAAAATCAGACAGTAACATTTATAGAAGATTTTTCTCTGGAAAATAGTTGAAGATCCAAGCTGATAGTAATAGTTTGTTCTGGCATAAAGCAGCTACATCAATCTAGGAAAAACTAAGACTTCTTAATGGTGAGAACTATTTTATAACAGTGTAAAATGCTACAGACCAGCTCATATATAGCCCATTTATGTTTTACCCGTGTTTTGAGACTTTGTTTGAAATTCAGTGGCAAAATGGCTACACTTTGGGACCTCAAATTTGGTTGCTCTTCTACACTGGGAGGGTGAAATCAACAGAACTGGACTTTCAGTAAACCATATGACACAGGAAAGGAGCATTAGTTCTAACTTCAGTGAGCCATGCTATATCTCCCCGAAAGAGTGGAATTGTGAGAATTCTCCAACTTTTTTGGATCTCAAGGAAGATTCCAAGGCTGCTTTAACTGGAAGCTAGTATCTGCAAAACATGTCTTCAATATTGGTGCTTTCTCTCCCCCAAATAATTATACTAGTTAATCCAAGTTAGTGTTCCAACATTTTTTTTAAATGTCCATTTCAAGGAACCTAAGTTTAAGTCTATCTAGGTAAAACTGAATTGATAAACACAACTATGATATACAAAACAGCCCTTGAAAAGGTTATCTGGTTGCCTGATCCGGTTCAGTCTTTATTAAAAAATTCAAATAAGCTTATTTTTAAATGCAAATGAAAAATGGCTCCGTTTTTGCCCTGCAGTTAAGAATACGGGATGTTAGAAGACCAAGGAAGGAGCTCTCCAACATTAAACTGATAAATATAAGGTGTCAAAGGTATCACGTTTTAGCTTGGCAGCACCATTTTTTTCTTCAGAGTTTTCTAGGCTCTTTCATTGCTTCCTTGAGTCTTGAGCTACACTCCATCTTCTATTTGCAGTGTAGGTGTGTCTCTTCAAACAAATGATTGCAAACCCCCGGGGCAAACAACTTGTTAATATGTGTGTTAAGAAGGATAACTGCAGTAGTGGCAAATTCAGTGGTGAAAAATGGCAAACTTTTTTAAAAAAATAAAACTGATTTCCTCTGCAGTGAACATGGCTCCAAATCAATGCTAAGATTATTTGCTTAATGAAGTAATTCTATATATGCTAGTAATTTTTGAGTCAATTAATTGGATAAGTGACACAGCTTTCTGTGTGTCCCCTTTGTATGATGGTGCTAGTCTCTGCAACCTGTTTTGCTCCCCCTCTGCACACTTCGTGTTCGCTTCCATGTTTTTTTAATTTCTGTTCTGTATGCCTATATCTTCAGAACTTGGGTATGTTAATTTTTAGGTGCTGAAATGTATCTTTTCATCCTGCACCAATAGTTCATGAAATGGTCTCCTTTGCTTTTGTTTTTCTTTGATCTCACCTTTGAAATGAATATAGTTTGTATTTGTATCTATTATTTTATATTTTATAAGCCACTTTGCAAGGCGTTTGCATAGGAGGCAGCATAACAAGTGTCAAATATCCATCAAGTCTTTCTGAACGAATGCATTTTTTTAAGCTAAACCCCCGCCAGCTGGGAATGATGGGGCTTGAAATCTGACATACGTAGGGGACTTCTGGCCTTCCTAGTTGCCAAAGTGTTGTTAAGCAAAAGCCCGACGCCAGTGTCCTTTTTAGCGTGTGCCCAGTACAGTATCACCCGATCCTCGAAGCTACAGTAGTAATAAAACCTTCCTCGAGCGTGCGAGGAACCAGAAATTCACCTGAGCTAGCATTTTGTCTACAGCGGCGGTTCGCCACACGCCTCGAGGTTTCCATGCCCGACTGGTGGCACTTGCCCCGTGGATGCTGTCTGCCCAGTCAGCTGGCGCCTGCTATTTTGTGGCCACGCGGGTTGGCGGATGTGTGCAGAATTGCCAAGGCGCTTCTCCTCCTCCCCCCCCCCCCCGCCCTCCCCCAAAAAAGCCTGCTCCTCAGTGCGGCTCGCGTTGGTTGCGTTCTGGTTTTGCGCGTTTCCTCGACGTGCTGCTATGCCGCCGCCGCCACCGCAAAGCGAGTACCTCCCTTCCGAGCCGGGACTCCAGGCCGGGGGCTGCTTGCAGCCGCGTACGTGAGGCAGCTTGTGCCGGGGACAGAGGAGGGGAGGGGACTGGAGGGGAGGAGAGAAAGGGAGGGAGGGAGCTGGAAGGGGAAGGTGAATTTCAAAACAAGCTTCGGAAAGGAAGGAGGGAGCGGAGCTGGCAAGCGGCGTCTGGAGGTAAGCGGAGAAGCGCCGCGGGTGGCGGCGGGGAGGGCGCACACGCACACCCCCACCCACCCCCCACCCCTTGCGCGCGCGAGGAAATCGGGGGGGGGGCGCTGCAGCCGCTTGGAAAGAGGCCCGAAAAGCCCAGGCAGCGGGGACTTGCCAGTGCAAGCGGAGTGGGTGTGTGCGCGCGCAACCTGCCACGGGCCGTGCAATTCTCGGTGCCGCACGGTTTGCGGGCGGTTCGTCTTCTACCCGCTTCCCCTGCAAACCCGAAGCAAACTTCGTGGGTCTCGCTTGATTCCTCTTCACCACCACCCCGGTTTAGGAATTGCTTCCTAGCTGGAAAAGGGTGAGCTCTTGCGCGCAGCTTCCTGATCCAATGTCACGGACAGCCGCTCTTAACACTTTTACCTGCCCTTTAGATTTACTCTTGTCTTTTGCGGAACCGGATTGTTTTATGCCTGCTTTTGCACTGTGGCAAGTGGTTTTCGCTGTGCGGTCCGCCCCCCCCCCCCGTGGTTGCTGAAGTCTCTTCGCATTTCCTCCCCTTTGGACAAGGCGAGAGGACAGGAGGTCAACCTTGGTTAGCTTTTTTCTCCTTAACCTCCCCTCCAACGCGCCTTTATTAAAAACCCGCAGTCCATTTACTCCTGTTCCTAATTTTCCGCGATTTACTTCGTCCCGGTAGCCAGCTCTTCCTTGTGCGAGCTGCCCTGTGTTTTGATCAACGCGTGTTTGCCACGCCTCCCTTTAGTGGGCGCTTTTCCTTTGGTCTTGTCAGGATTTTTTTTTTTCGGGGTGGGGGGCAGGGGGCAGACCAAGGCAACACCCGCTTCTCCCTTCCTCTGCAGGGTCCTCGTCGTCCCGCCCTCCTTTCTGGGTCCTGAGTCCTGCTTCAGCCCCTTTCCCCACAGCCAGCCAAACCGCCCCCCTTCTGCCTTCTTAGCCGCTGCGCCCGCCCCGCTCCTGGGTTGCCCGTGGCACGCCCACTCTAGGCGCAGAGGGGCTCTGCCCCGGGAGGAAAAGTGCCACTCCCCCTCTTCTTGCGGCCATGTCACGTTTGCATTAAGACCACGCCTCGCAGTCCAGCCCCAGATTCTACATTTTAAGTCTCTTAAAAAAAAAAATCAATTTTGATATGGCTGCCCGTCTCGCGGAAAAGTGGTGTTGAGTTTTGCCGGTCAAACTTCAGGGCGCTTTCCGACTTTGCACTAGCGGAACGTCCTGGAAGGCGAGCCTTGGGACGCTGATTAGTCTTTCCCCTTGTGGTTTGAGTGGCTGGTAACCTCTTGGCTCTCTCTGTGGAGAACCGCTAAAGGGAGAAGATACTACAACAGTTGAGAAAGCAGAGCAGGCCAGCGCAAAGCAACTACTATTTTTTTTTCTGTAGGTCTCTGCAGCTGTCTTCCTTCACTGTCGTTTTTCTTTCTCACAGACTCCCAACATAAATATACTTGTGCAGCTGTTAGCTTTTGCATAGCTAGGCAAGGCTTCGGCTTCTGGGCAGTGCCTTCCACAGCTTGGGTCCCATTTGTCATGCACCCTCTCTTCCACAATGCTGTGCAAGGTTTGAATGTGTTCGCTCAAAAGTAAATCTCATTGAGATTGCAGCTCAGGGCTCTCTCTTCTTTCTAATGGTGTGGAGTTGTAATGTGCACTTAAAATGCTCCGGTAAGCAATTAAATAAATAGCTCTTTGCTTGCCAGCTTTCTGGTTCCCCAGATCTGAATTCCTGTGTCTTGATTTTAGGAAAGATTTAAATATTTGCATGAGGACATTTTAGGAGGACTTTTTAGGAGATTGAACTTTAGTTTGGACAAATTGTAGAACCAAAAGATCATATTCTAAACATTTCCTGCCCAACAATCATCTTGGAATTCTGCTAGCTGCGTTATAACTCGCACTTGGTCAACGGAAGGCCTAGTGTTTGCCTTTGCACAATATATGGGGTGAACTTGTTGGATTTGCGTGTTGTGTGAATCCAGCCAGCTTGATTAATTTACAGCTCAGGTCACCATGCAAGAAATGTTTAATACAGCAACCCAGGTAAGGATGTTTTGTGAACATAGCCAGTGTGCTGCATTTCAGCAGATGCTGCTTTCTTTGAATCTCTTTTATATGTGGGGTGGAAGAGAAAGCGGAAGCGGCATCTCTTAATAGGGAATCTTCGGCATGAGCGAGCTTGTCTGGGCCCTGCTCTGGCCTTGAAAAAGAACAGGGTGGGATGAGATGGGAAGGGGAGATTGCCCCAAGTGAAGGCAGCTGCATGCCATTGGCCTTTCTCGTATCCCACTTTGTTACCGTGCAGGTTTTCACTCCCCTTGTGGACCTAACTGGTACTTATTGTGTTTTCCCCACCCCCAAATTGTGCCACACCCCTTCTTTATGCTTGCAACTTGGAGCATATCTCAGATCTTCTGCTTAGAAGCTTAGGGCCTTCTCCAAGTCACACCATTTGCCTCACAATATGCCAGAATCCTTGGCTGTGCAGTCTGGGAGATGTAATCCTGAACTTCTTCAACATATTGTAGAAGGTTTGCCCTGTGAGTTAACTAACACCTGTTTGGTGGCTGGTAGCATGTACTTGATTACCTTTCACTATGCAGTGGTGTTTCTGGTCGTCTGCCATTTTCTCCTGATATCTCTTGGTATACGTGTTGCTGATTAAGTTTGTGATTAACCAGTGATCAGAGATCTTTTTGGGGAGGCCACACAGAAGTTCCTTCCCCCTCCCCCCAAAATGGCTTCTTATTTCTTCGGAGTCACCAAGATTGCCCTAAGCAAGCTATATAATGGAGTTAGCAAATTATTTATGGACCAGAAACTTTACAGACAGGAAAAGCCTTTTTGTACATTTCAAATGGCAGGGTCCCAGATTCTCAGAAGAGGTGGAGGGAACCAACTTTGAACATTTTCTGTGTGTGTGCACCTTCAAGTCAATCTTGGCCACTGCCTGGACAAATCCCCGCAGTTTTCTTGGCAAGATTTCAAAAAGGGTTTGTTTGCCCTTTCCTGCTTCCTAGGACTGAAAATGAGTGACTGGTCAAAGTTGCTCCTCTGGCTTACGGCCTAAGGCAGGACTGGAACTCACAGCCCCCCCCCCCCCCCCCCCCCCCCCATTTTCTAGCCTGATGACCACTAGCTTAAACTGGCTTCCCACTTTGAACATTGGGTGATGTAAAGTGCTAATGAAAGAACATTTTTGAAGGCCAAAACCCTCACTTATAGGTATACCTTGCAAAGCTATATACCAAAGGCTGGAGGAACCTCTTGAGATGAGTAAGTTGAAGCAAATGTAAAGCCATTTTTGAATTGACTTTAACTTCTGGGAGCTCCTTGCCATTTTCTTGGCAATCTTATGGTAGTGCTTTGCTACTGCCTACTTTTCTGATGTTTTTTTCCACTTCTCTGTCTAGCCATAGCCTTGAGATTTCCTGGTGGCTTCCTATCCCAGTATCAAGAAGGTTTGATTCTACTTAGCATTTTTTTGTGGGCAGCCAATGTTAGCTTGGTACCGCCATGTGTGTTGAAGCAGAAAACTCTCTCAAATTCAACCAGGGACATTTTCCCAGTTGGAGAATCTTCTCGTCTTTTCAGTCTGTCCACTTCCAACCTTATGGCATTCTTTTCAAGAAAAATCCCTCAAGGCCATTTCCCAGCATTTATAAGGCATTCTGGGGAAAAAAAATTGGTATACGGTAGTTTGCTTCCAGGAATAACTCCTGCTGGTGTGATGTTCAGTCTGTCAGAAAAAAGGCAAGCTTTTTCTTTGATCTGTTGTCAGTACACAACGAGATCATTTCTATGGGAGGGAATTAAAATATGATGCAGCTCAGAGAAAGTTGCAAGAACAGTTTCTGTTGTGCATACGTCTCTTGCATATGTAGCTACTGTGCCCCTCCTAATGGTATTTTGATTTTGATATCTGGCATTAAATCTGAGAGACAAGGGTGTAGTTTGGCAGCCATTATTGTTACTGTTGTTATTGTTAAGAGTGTATTCCTTTGGCAGTGATCTACAAGAAATTATGCAGCAATATGGATTGGGACTTAAGCAAGCAGTGGGCAGGGCCAGACCCAGAAGTAGGTTTTCGACACCCCCATTTTTCCCTCTCTCTTTGGCATCAGAGTCTCTCTCTCCTCCTCCCCTTTCTCTTTTGCCTTTTTGTTTGTCAGGCAATAACATTGGATGGGTTGTCTGACCTGTATGCTTGCAATGAGCTATGAAATTTCCATGTGGTCCCAGTGCAACATGCTGCCCATCCTCGGACTAGCCAGATGCTGCCCATAACATTTGTGAATCTGATTGGAAACAGCACCCCCTTTCTGCTAATTGGTACTCCCCGGGCTGTCCTAGAAGATTTTGGTAGTTCCTTTTTTTAAGAGGACTAGTAGAGTCTACACAGAAAAAAATTATAACTCTTTCCTGCCCATCCCCAGACTACCTGTCTTGATTTTGGGGATGAAATTTTTTCCTTTGCATTAATGAACTACCAGGTGTGCATGCCTGTTGGTATGTGTGTGTGATCTGCATTCGTTTGAGATTGAGCGAGCTGCAGAATTTGAGCAGTAGACTTGCTGATAGAACTTGCTGACTGGTTTACACATTACATGATACTGCAGGTTGTGGGTCACTATATTGCAGAAAGCCAGTTGTTATTTTAATCATATTGTATGAGCTATGTAATCTCATTATTAGCACAGCTAAATAGTATTTTTTAAAAATATAGTAATCTGTTTTTTCTTAATTTGGATATACCATATTGTGTGAACTCCATAGCTATCAAGTCTGGACTTTGAAAATCTGGGCAACTGCAAGATGATAGCAAAAAGATGAAGAAAAATGCCACTCTTTGCTGCCCTCTACTGGTTTTCTCGGTTTCTGCAGCCCAGATGCAGTAACCGTAGCGAACTCAGCCTCAATGTTTTGTTCAAGTTATCTCTGCGCCTGGATGTGATGGGAAAAGCAAAAGGCTGGTGAATCTATTTTAGCTTTGTCTGTATTATGCAGTGAGGCTTTATAGTTTGTGGCTGCTCTTTGCCAGCCTGAACTGGAGATTGCTTTTGTGTGAAAAGGATCAGCTCTAGCACCCAGTTCCTGCAGGTTTTATCCTCCTGCGGTTGAAGCAGGTTGTGTTGGGTTCAGTGTGACATTGTAAACTTTTCTTCTCTTGGAATAGTTTTGAAATCTGGTTCACTCAGCAAGGGAGGTGGGAACAAAGCCCTCCTATCATGTCCTCAATTTTGTCACTTGAATGTGGGAAATAAAAGGTCCCTTGTATAAGGGGCTTCTGCCAAACCATTGTATAAATGTGCCTGAACAATGACAGATAAATTGTTGCTGGGGAGA